CCGCGGCGAGACGCGGTCTGCCTCCCACCTCGGAGGGAGGCTGCCGGGGCGACGAGGAGCCCGGCTCGGCGCAGGGGGCTGCCGGCGGCGCAGCCTGCGCCGTGCGCGGAGGGTTCCGGCGCGTCTCCGCGCCGTCGCCTCCCCTGCAGCAGCCGGGGCCGGCGGCGTTGGCGAGCCGGGCCGGCTGCAGGTGTGCAGGGTGGCAGTGCGACAAATGCCGTGGATTTGGTTGGGTTTTTTTTTTAAATGGGTGCCTCAGTGGCAGCACCTGCGGGTGTCTCAGCCCTGACAGCCCCGGGAGGGAAGCGGCTGCCCAGCGCTAGGCGGCTGGGCAGCCGCTTCCCTCCGGGGGCTGTCGAGGAGGCGCGAAATATGTCTGAACCTCGCTTATTTTATAAAGGACGACAGGGTGACCACCGCCTGGGGAGGGAGGAGCGGCCACCGAGGGGCGAAGTGACCCCAAATCCTCCCTCCTGCGGCGCGACGGCGGGAGCCTGACGGCCGGTCTCCTCACGCCGTTCCCGCCGGCGACAGCCCGTCATGTCGTGCGTATCCCGACTTGAGGGTGGTTTTCTGGAGCCACGTGTTTTATTTAATTTGGCAGCAGGCGGGTATGAGGGTTGGTACTCAGGTCGGGTTATAACAGGATGTTTTTTGGTGGTGGGTGCCTGTAATCTAACTGCTCTGTTCACTAGCGATCGCAGGGAACTGAAGTGGGTTTAGTACTGCCTTCAGGCGAGCATGTCTTTGCTTACTGGTGTTTGGTAGTGATTTTGATTATGTGGTTTTTTAAGTGACATGTATGAAATGCAGTCTGATTAGGTGTGACTGAGTTACAGCTAAGAGTGCACATGGGTATGGATTTGTAGGTAAGCGTGTGCCTTCTGACCTTACTTTTCCTCTTTTTGAGAGGTTCCCACTTCTGTGCCCCAGCATAAAAGATAAGATAAATTGTTTTAACAAACTCTATTGTTGTCCCTTTTGTCTTTACCTGGGGCTTGTTGTATAAATATCACCAGATGTTCCTCTCATTGCAGCTGCTTCATGCACTCCCAGCCTCACTTTTGTCTAAATCAAGACTGTCTACCACAAAGTCCCTTGTTGTGAGCTTGCTTCTGTTTTTTCCCTTTGAAATATAAAAATAAATTAGAAGTGTGAAGGATATAGTGGCATGTTATTTTCCACTTGTAGCTAGCACAGTTCCCTAACTTTGAAGTTACTTGGTTTGAAATCTAGGTTAATATGACTTAGGTGGATTTGCCTAGGATTGGTACTTCAGGAAATTTTGAAAAGTTTCTGAGACATTGTAACTGAATATCTGTTTGTGAGCTGATTATAGGTCTTTCCCTCATTTAATGTTCATAGTCTTATTCAGGATTTGGCTGAACATGAGGATAGTATATGTATTTGCTGAGCATCTCTTGTTCAGCTGTGTCACAGGTCTGTATAGTCAGGGCTTACTGCCATCACTGATACACTAACAAGTGAATAATTGACATAGTAACTTCTCTTTCATACCTTTTTACATGATAAACACACCTTGTCCTTTTTTAAAAAATGGATGTTGCAACCAATTCTATTCGATCAAAGGTTTATGTTGTTTTTTATAACACTAAAGATGTTTTAAAGTTGTGTTTGCATATGTGAGCACAAAAGAGTTGGTTGAACAGATTAGATCTTTACATTGGGAATTGCTTTTGTTGCAAGGGCTTCCTGTCTGCTAACTGTATGTATGGCAGGGAAGTGATTCTTCTCTCTCCAGAAACAAGAAAAATGCATACTAGACAAACTCTAAGCCTTTCCCACTTAAATGTTCAGACTATGAGGTTCCTAAATATATACATTGCAAGGAATAGGCATTTCTGGGACTTAACAGCCTTTGCTCTGTTGGTGCTTAACTCCCTGAAGACTTTCATGCTGTTTGCCTGTGTAGGGCGATCTTGACTCTTACCCTAAGGGCCAATCATTGTGTTCAGAAATAGGAGTTTTACAGCTGGTATATGTGAATAGTCTAAGTATATATGTAAAGTTATGTTACAACAAAAGCTGGTTTATGCAATCAAGACAACTGTGGAAGACAGAGGCAAGAACACTATAAATCTTTGCTAATGAGCAGTTATTGTACAAGAGTATAGCAAAAGGTAGTAAGCTTTTAGCAGTTTGGTATTTCACATTGGTCATTAACCCACTTTCACCCAAAATTGAACAAATGACAGGTCAGCTGCTGCCCTGCTGAGTGGGAGAGAGGGGATCTTGGCAGATGGTTCCTCTTTCCCTCCTCTTGAAGGGGGGACACCCTGTAATGCAGTGTTAGTACTTTGCTAACTGCATATTAACCTTCATTAGCTCCTTTGGGTACACAGCCAAAGTTTGATAGGCCTTATCAGAATATATATTTTTGGTGAGACAATGAAGGGATCCTAGTTCCAGGTCGCTCTGTCCTGATTTTGTATTAAAGATTTCTGTATCAACAGCAGTGTCATTTCAGTAAAAAAATCTTACGCATATCAGCAAAAAGATTCCTCACAGCTGCCATGATCAGCACAAAAAGCGTTTAAGGCTTTGTATTGCACAAGGGTGAGCAATGAGGAAATCCATGTGTTAGCTTGGGTGAAGGCGTAAGCCTGCATTAGCCATAGCAGTCCTGTGGCAAGACTTTGGCAGCATTAGAGATCATTCCAACAGTGGTTTTAGCTGCAGTATTGTAGGACTGTTGTATGGTAGAAAATACATACTATTTGTCTCTGGTTCTTCTCTTCCAAGCCTGTCTTCTCTTTCCACAGAAGTAATGTCTTGTGACAGAATCATGAATTATAATACATGTGTTTTTTTCTCTATATTGCTAATCTTGACGTAGCTTCAGTTTTCTCTAGTCCCTGCTGTCCCTCTTCCTTTGTAGGTTTTGTTTTTTAGTTGGTCAAAGCTGCTGAGTTTAGTTTCAGTTAAGATTAAGTGAATTGCTTGTAGGAAAAAACCTGCCAATAGTTATGTTTCTGCCATAGAGGTGGTGTAATAAGACACGTGACTTAGGGAAATAAGCAATTCCTGCCCTGAAGGCTTTAAGGATACAAAACAAACAAGGATAGAGAAGAGAATGAAATGCCAAATCTTGAGTGAGCTGTTGCACACAGCTTCATACAAATCCTAGTTGTCAGCAGATACCTGAAGTTGGGAATAACAAAAGCAGACTCAGAGTGGGAGAAAGAGTTTGGGGGGACAAAACAAGCTAGGTTGAGAGATACTGTGGTTGTTCTTTCCTGGGTAGAGTAGGGCAAGAAACAGTCAAGGTCATCAGTGACAAAATTGTATAGAACTGCAGCCACATGCTGCTAATTGACCTGCAGGCATTTGAACAGTCACAGGGTCTGTAGTTACAGGTAATTAAATGTACTTCTGAACTTCAGACCATGAGGTAAATCACGGTGACTCTTAGTGCAAAACTGCCTGTGTATGAATACATCAGATTTTATTTGATTTGAGTGATTCAATTAATTTGAATCAAATCAAATCATCAAAATGCCCAAGTATTCAAAGTAATGTTTATGCTTCTGACCAAGTCGTACTTTCCATGAAGAAACGGGAATGATGACTAGGACAAGTGCAGGAAGAAATCATAAAGCTGTGTAGTTATCACTAAAATGATGTTTTATATCCATGAGTCAATTCTTAACACATTACTCAGTTTTATCCTTTAGCTGGAAGGGCTGAGAATTAACATGGAATATTTTCAAACTGGCAGTCAGATGTCATAATAATAGCTGTAGTATTCTTATTTTTTCCACTGACATTTGTTCAGAGTGATTTGCCTTCTGAAATAGATTTGCAACTACTGTCCAAGTCAAAATAAATGAAAAGACTAAATTTGGAGTTGAATGTTATTTTTACGGGTCACAAGTGTTCTTTAAATGCACTTCTTATGGTCAGATTAGTCATGAAGACATCTACTTTGATTATTTGTCCTGCTGTTTTACACTTTTATGCTTTCTGATGATTGCATCATAATTGCAATTGATTATTATAATAATTTATATTCATTTATACAGTAATAACTGAACTTTCTTGTAAGGCAAACCAAATAATCTTACAAGCTCATAGGCCACATGTCTTTTTGAACACTTAGCTCTATTACACCAATAACAGAAAATCAGCTAGTATGTGGTTGGAAACGAATTTGGCACAAAATAGATGGAAGAGTAAATAACAAGGAGAACTGGTAACAACTGGTGAGATTAATTTACTTTTGTTTTCCTTTGCCATTTTGGGCACACTCACCTGTAGAGACTGTATGGATCCCTCTCTCCTAATGAGTTTAATTTTGTTGGGAGATGCCTCGTTATAACACTCCGGCTTTTAAGTTCTGAAATAGCAGAGTTTATTTTCTGGAAGGTTAAAAATTTTTAGTCTAATTAAAAGTGTGAAATTTGATGGCTTGTAATGTATGTGTGACACTAGATAAGATGTTGACTCATGTATAAATGATAAAATATATATTTAGTAATTAACCATCTTTAAAGTATTTCTTTGAAATATTGATGGGAAAATTAATCAGAAGGCATCCGACTAAACAGATAGCTGATTTCTTTTTGCATGATTTAAAATAACATAGTCTCTATTTTAACGTGAAAAAAGCCAGAAGATTTCATGAGTTGGAGATGAATGATGTAATGTGTTTCAGTAAATGGTTTGTACTCCATTTCAGTAGAATCTACTTTTTTATTGATTGAAAATATTCTTTATCATTTTTACATATTTAAAACTATTCTAGTTCAGGGATGTCACGTCAGGATTTCTGTACTGTAGTATACAGGTGTTGGCTTTATAATAAAGGAAGAGTATGAGTATTAAGTTTTCCCTCCAGAAAGCTGTACCTCTAACTGCATGAGCAAAACCTTGTATGTTTGTATGTCACTAGATGCATAGATACATATGTAGTTTGGGTGATTGCATACTGACCTTGCAAAATCCCCATACTCAGGGTTTTTGTTCTCTTAGTTGACAAGTTTACTGTTGGAATAACAAAACCTTTTGTAAAATTAGCGTTACCCCAAAGAAGCACAGAATTCCCCCCCCCCGCTAGATCAGCTGCTTTATTCTAATTGACCCAGACTTTTTAATTTTTCTGTTCTATAGTAAATGCCTGAAGTGTACACAGAGGGTTTAATGAGGGGCAGGGCAAATGAATGGTAGTACATTCTGGTAATTATGTAGGGCCTATTCTTTGTGCAGCTGATTGATAAACTAGTAATCAAAGGTACATTTGCAATTTAAGCTGGTTTCCATACAAGACTGTTCCTTGAATAGAATATTTCTTTCTTGAACTTATATAAAATGGGCCTTATTTAGAATTACTGCTAATTACCAGTATATTCATGTGCTGATAAATTTTTTTAGCAGTAACTTGCTTTTGGAAGGCATGGGAGAATTTCCCGGAGGTTTGAGAAGAAGGTGATTCTTTTCCAAATGGTCAATTCTGAAGCAGAGGAAAATGTTTATTTCATTTCTGTGTTCTTAGGTACTGTTAAATACAGTTGCTAATGGAATAATTTGGATTGAAAGTACTGTGGGTTTTTTCACGTACAGCCTACTCTCTGAGGTAACTCCAAGAAATGAGGCAGTGGGAACTGGGACCGGTTTTGTGGAGGAGGGAGGGAGTGAACTGTAGTATCAGTTAAAAGTCAAGAGTTGGATCAAGGGGATTCTGGAGTAAGTATCTCTTCATATTAACCCTAGGCAAGAGCCCATGCTGTGTTAATAAAATGTGCAACCCTGTTACTAGACCACTTATATCACTTATAACTTACATGTGTTAAGTCCAATAAATTGATTGATTTTTTTAGTACTGAAATAAATCTTATGTTCATGCTTGGTCTTCCTATGCTTGCTTTTCTGTATCACCTCACTTTGCTTCTATCTGTTCTTTCTTCCTTTTCAACACTGGAATCCCTCAATTCTGTCCTTCCTACGTTTTTGTTTTGGTTTGTTTTCATAAAGGTAGAAGTTCCTTTCTCAGCTTAAGTTATAATGGAATTTGTCTCTTGCTCTGTGTATGTTGTTTTTTTAGTTTATTTTAACTATGCATGGATTTACCTTTGTGTAAGGAAACATAAGAAGTAACAAAAAGGGATTTCTCCATTTACATATGTAAATCATAGGGTGAAAAGGTGAAAAGAATATTTGGCAAGAAAATCCCGGGATAAAAAATTTTGTAATGATTTCAGGTGTCTATATTTTGTTTTAGATTGTGATTTGGAGTCTTGGAGAATTCAGAGTCTTTCCACAATGGGAGAAAGGACAGATTGTACGAAGTCACATAGTTCACTGGCTGAATACAGCCCCGTCAGTAAATCAGACAGGACAGATCCAAGTGACAGCTGTGAAATGCAGGATGGAAACCAAAATACAATGCAACTGAAGAAAGAAATATCTTTGATAAATGGGATAAGCCTTATAGTAGGCAACATGATTGGTTCAGGTATCTTTGTCTCTCCCAAAGGAGTTCTCATCTACAGCAAATCTTATGGATTGTCTCTAATAATTTGGGCGATCGGAGGGATTTTTTCAGTCTTTGGAGCTCTCTGCTATGCTGAACTTGGAACCACTATTACAAAGTCAGGAGCCAGCTACGCGTATATCTTGGAGTCTTTTGGGAGCTTCATTGCTTTTATTCGTTTGTGGACCTCACTCCTAATTGTTGAGCCAACTAGTCAGGCGATTATCGCTATCACCTTTGCTAACTATATAGTTCAACCTTTCTTCCCTTCTTGTGATCCTCCATATTTGGCTTGCCGTCTCATAGCAGCTGCTTGTGAATGTAAGTATTTCTTGAAATTTTCTATGCTAATTTTTTTATCCAGGATTAAGTTTTATTAAAACAAATCCTATCAAGTCCCAGAGTTGTTGCATGCTGAATCTGCAATGGTTTGAGTCACAGTGGGGAAAAGAACAATTTCCAGCACATGAATAACTCACAGGTATTCAGCCAGTGAATTACCATTTTCTCATTCAGAAGCAGAACAAGGTATTTAACTCTTCCAAGTTTACTTACATGGCAAAAATGGGGAAAAAGTTTGTTTTCCTGCAGAGAGGTATATTAAATGAAACCTCAAGATACTTTTGGTGTGGTCTAAGAGTTGTTGCAGAATAGCTCTTATGCTATAAATTCTGGTGTAATTTATTTTAAAATAGCTTCTCAATGTGGACATACTTAAGTAATTACTCTGGTAGGGTTTCAAAAGGTCATTCATTCAAGATTATTCTTTATGCTTGTGATTACCTGTAATATCAGTACAACAGTACCTGTTGTAAAGCTGTTTTGAAAAGTGGAAATTTTGTATGCACATAAAGCATTGAAATGTTTTTAATCAGATAGCCAGCTCTGTTAGTCAACATAGAAGAACAACTGTCCACGTGCTTCAAATCAGGACTGTTCTGCTATATCAAGAGAATGAAACTGTATGACTGTACTGTGTGTGTCTTATTTAGTTTTAGGTATTTCCTACTGAAAGTGTTTATATGCATATTTTACATTTACAGTAAACAGTGAAAAATGTATTCCAGAAAGTCTGTCATGTCATGTCCTTCATCATGTACTGATGAGTCGCCATGTGCTGTGGAGCCTGCCATCCCTATTGACATGATGCTTTTATCATAAAGCTAATACGGAACTTGGGTTTTTTTACTGCCAACAATATGCTACAGGGAGGAGATGTGCGGCTCCTAGCTGGTTCCTTTTTGAGGCAACAGGGAATCTGTTGAAATAGCTCTAATGTTCCTTATTACAGTTGTCTATGCAGGACTATAAGAGGGGAAAGAGAGAGAGCAGCAGTGTGTGCTTCAAATATTTGACCTCTAACTAGCTGTGAACATTATAGCTTCTCTTTCCATTTTTGTAAGTTAATTTGTTACTGTTGGAAAAGCACTAATGTGCTGGTTCAGGTCCAGGTAGTGCGAAGAATAATCACAGACTTCTTCCAAAAAATCTGTCAGCTTACTCAGTTCTGTTCCCTCTGTCTCCCTCCTCCCTTCCAAATGTATGTCCACACTTCATTATGACAACTTCAGGAAAGAAATGAAGAACATGTAATGTCACGTTCACATTCCTTAAACAGATACTGTCCCAAGGTATCCTGGCACAGGTTCAGGAGTGTGGGGGAATCTGCTCTTCCATGTAAGGTATCTCACATTTGAGGGGAGTTAGCCCTTCTAAAAAGCAGTTTGTCAAAAAGCAAGAAATTAAGACAAAGTGATTAAATTAAAACAATTATATAGTGGATATAGAAAGACAACGTGATGCCTTCTACACTTGCTGCTAAGAGAGAGGATTTAGCACCTTTTTCTTTAGTGGAGACATGTGACAGCAAGATCACTCTCATGTAGGTGGAACAACTTACTTTAATGGTCCATTTTATGGTTTAAATGGTTGTTCTACCCTGCTCTAGGGGTCAGTGCTGAGACTCTCACCCCTACTCTACAACTTAATATAGCTGGTCCTGTTAAAGCCTACACTTCTCCCTGGCCTGGCAGGGCTGATGTGTGTCCAGTCCTTAGCTCTGGATACAATTAATACTTCATTAATGAAGTTGCTGGGAGTGGAAGTCTGAACATTGGTTAGGTAAGAGATTGTATGTGAGAATGGGTGGGTTTGTTGGAGAGTTTCTTTTTGTTCTTTTTTTTTTTTTTTTTTTAACTGTAGTAATAACAATACTAGATCTAGTGTGAAATCACTCCTAGTGTTACACAGCATTACTTGTCAATCATTTTGGCAAATAGAGGTGGCATCTGGTGCTACAGAATTAAACTTGACAGTTCTCAGGAACTTTAAGTAGGTTAATGATAATTAAGTTGAAGAAAACATGAGAGAGTAATTTTAGTGAGAGAGAGGGAGGGGATATGGCTTATTCAGATTCTTAGCTTTCTTTTTTTTTTTCTTTTAAGATAGCAGAGACAGACTAGCATTTCATCTGAAGTACAGACCAAGCCCTAACTCACTAAAATAAGGAGTTAATAATAATTACTCCCAATGAAAGTTGCTTAAAAAAAGTAAAAAATTAATGGCCAAAATAAACCCTGTGAGCAAATACTCCATAGATAATACTGATCATTAGTACTGAAGAGCAGAGACCAAGCAGAGTTGTTTTTTTCCTGAGGGCTCTTCAGGAGCTGCCAGCAGTCCTGACTTTTGAAATTTGATACAACTGGTTTTTTTTTCCCCTCATCTTGCCAAGCTCAGTGGAGTCTTATTCAGCTATTCCACTTGGCCAGACTGTCTTGTATACTAGTGCCATGCTTTTGAGATCCTTACCTTTCTTTTGTTATCTTTTTAAAATTATTACTTTTCTATTTGGTAACTGTGCTATGTACTTGTGAAATCTGAAAGTCTCATTTCAAGTTCCGTTACAATCTTGTGACATAGGTCTGATACTAATTTATTTTGGGATAGACAGAGAAATATACTCGGAATACTCATTACTTACTACCAGTTCTTTAAAATCCAGATTAATGTTGCATTAGCTGTAAAGCATGTTATTTGGTCAGATCTGTTCTAACCTCTCTTAGTAATACAGTTTAATACAACTGGAAAAGAGTATTGAATCACTTGTGACCATATTCAGTATTGCAAGTACTCCATGGATGTTGAACTCATCCTCAGCCTAACAAGGAAGGATAAAAAAACTTTTCAAAAACTATTTTAATATGTTTACCTAAAGGAATTTCTAGATAATCTTTCATTTATCATAACAATATTGATACATTGAAATGAATTATTTCATGTAATGGTTTCTTTACTTTCAGGATAGTTGCAGAATGCAGCTGATGAGAGGTAGTGTTAGGAAAATGGGCATGTAATCAGAGAAGGTGAAGGTCTTTCCTTCCATCTTTTGAAACAGAGTGTTTAGAACATCTGTTTTCTACTGTTTTGTTGCAACCAGTGTGTTTTCAGTATCAGTATATTTTGCTTAGTTTAACCTAAGTGTAACAGGTAAGTGCATATTTAGATTGTAATTTAAAATCTTTGAAAAATTAGTTAAACTGAGTATTGTTCAAATAGTATTTTAATTTTTCTTTTTTCTTCTCCCCACTTCCCCTCCCCCCAGGTCTTCTAACATTTATAAATTGTGCCTACGTTAAATGGGGAACACGGGTGCAGGATATATTTACTTATGCTAAAGTTACTGCTCTTATTGTCATCATCGTAACCGGACTTGTTAAAATATGCCAGGGTAAGCTTACAAAATTAAAGCAAAGGTTTGTATTTATCAGTTAAACTGAGTAACTGCTTTAAAGACTGTAAAATACCTCTGTATGTGTTATCAAATGCCTCAGTACAGGCATAATATAGCCACTTTGAAAACACCAATAATACCAATGTTAGACATTATCATGATATTATATCATGAGAAGCTATCCTATCTCAGTTGACTTTGAACTGTGTGAAAGAAGGTAACTGATTGCTCAGCAATGTTGAGCAATTTACAGCCTGCAGTATGGAATAATAAAGGAAATGAAAACAGCAAAATACAGAGCTAGCAAAATACGATGGGAGTAGAGGAAGCTGTAAATTTCTGTAAGGAGCATACTACTTTACAGTGAGATCAACTGAATAATATTTTTACAAAATGAATTTTGTGCAAGTCTGGAAGTGACTGAACTTAAAGCAAAAATAGATTTGTAAGAACATGTAAGTAGATTTGTGAAACAGTAGCTCTTTTTTTGCTCAAATCCTGAGTACTGTTATAGCTGTTGAGAATTAGAAAGTTGCTGGGGTTTTGGATTTATGTGTGTTTTGGGTTTTTTTTAATTTGTGTGTGTGTTGGGCCTTGTACCTTCAAGTTAGAAGAATTCTGAACTTAGTTTTGTTCTTAGCCTTTCCTTTTGGGAGAATTTATTAGTGTGTTAGCTTAAAAAAAATTACCCTGCTTTCAAAGCTGCCTTAAAGGTCTTTCCTTGGCAATCTGACAATTTGTGTCCTTTGCTCCAACCGGTTATTGTTGAAAGTCCATGAGCAAGGTAATTATTGTGAATGGAGCGAGAATATGCATATGTGAGCACCTTGCTAGAGTATTTAATCCTTAGCACATCTGCCCATCCCTTGTTCTGTAGATACTGAGCTTGTTCACTACTAACTTCCTTGACATTTGTTTCCCTTCTCAATTTCTCAGTAGTTATTCTGCCTATGTCTGTGCCAAGGGAATAGTAATGTCTGATTAGGATAAAAAGTAGGGAAGAGAAGTAAGTGAAGGCATTTTAGAGGCCTCAAATATTTGCCTGGCCAGTTTTGATGAAGTCTAAATGTTTCACGATGCATAGTACAGGGCATGTTTTGGAGTTACATAGTAACTCACCTTTCTGTATTCAGTGTGTTTTTGTGTGTGTCTGTATATGCAAAATAGTCTGAATATATAAAACGTATTGATGAGCTTGTCTTGATTGGCTTCAAGTCAAAAGATGGCAAAAGTTTGCACAAAAAAAATATGCTTTTTCTCTTAGCTTGGGAAAATTTTATCTCAAGTAACAATAATATTTTATGTTCTGTTAATTATTCTCAGTTTTCTATTTTTAATAGCTAAGACTTAAAACATCCATTTAGGTTTTGGGGTTTTTTTTGTCGTAGTTATCTAAATAAACTGAATCTTTGTTTTCTGTATGGGCGAAATGATTGAAAATTTAAAAAGATATAGAGTGGATTATTTTATAAATATGTATGTTATAAAAAATACCCTTAGCCTGAGTACTGTCATTGACAGTTGTTTGTAGCTTAGTCTGAGCTTAATGTTCCTGAACTTTTTGTACCATTGTGGACAAACTAGGTGTTTAATTATAGAACAGTATCATCCACAGAGCATAATTTTTAGTAGTTTAAATGCTATGTTTATTTTCATGGCTGAATCACAGAGTAGAATTGGCAAAAGGGCTTAATAAGCGCCTTTGAAGGAATTAGGGTTTGTGAGGTTTTTTGTATTTGTGTGCCACATTGAAAAAAATTACTTGCTGTACTTTATTATCCTATACTTCATAGCATCTCTTTCACACGCAGGACATTCATCACACTTTGAGAACTCTTTTGAGGGATCCTCTTTTGATATCGGAGACATTTCCCTCGCACTCTATTCTGCCTTGTTCTCTTACTCTGGTTGGGATACACTCAATTTTGTAACAGAAGAGATCAAAAACCCGGAAAGGTAAACGATTTGAGCTTTCTAAACCTGGGTATTTCCCAAATTGCTTGTTTGTGGCTGTCTTTCACTAACGAGTTCTGAGCTTATACTGAAATGAGTAGAACTGCTCTGCACTTAGATGGTAAGGCTGTGAACAGCCACACTCAAAGATTTACTAGTTTTTAACTCCATTAAAAATGAAAAGAAAAAAAAAAAGAGAAAAAAAAGATAAGTCTAGATGATTGCAGGATGCTGTATTCAGGGCTTGATAAGCTTTCAGTTCAAGATGTTGCTACTGTTTATTGCAATAGGTGTTAATATTGCAGTGAAACAAAGTATAGTCTGTGCTATGTTTATCTGTGCAATAATTCTGATTTCTTATTTAAGAATGTTACCTTTTCCATGAATTTATGCTCTAAAAGTGTGACTGAATAATCTTGTTCAGTTGTGAGTCTGTAAGCAGATACCTTTATGTTAAAAATAGAATCCCATTTGATCATTTTTACTTCCTATTATAAGCAACAGCTCAGATTGTTACAACCAAAAGATAAAGAATGGAAGAGAGATTTTTCTTCAGTTCTCCCAACTGATTTTGACTTTGCAGTTTGTTGTTACCCCTGAGTTCTATGCTGTGCATTTATTTAACCAGGAAAGTTACCTATTAAAAAGGTAAAATAGCAGATAAGAATTTTAACTCCAAATATAGCTATTTTTAGTCAGACTGAATTTCAGGTTGACAGTGTTTCCTTAAATTGTCTTGCAAAGATTTGTTATACGTATTCAGAAGAGATATATGTTTTGTGTATGCATCAGTCATTTGGTCCTTCAAATTGTTTTTTTTCCACTGAAAGAGCTCCCCTTTCTGAGTGCTGTTGCAATGCCTTTTCATCCTTTTCAAGTTAGTGTATTGTTCTGTGTTATCAGTTGGATAACTCTTCTATTAGATGTATTGTTTTGAAAAATAGTTTTTTTTACAGGATAGTTAGCTGATGAAAATTTCTATTGCTATTTGTAGGCATCAGTGCCTAATACAAGCTTCGTTCTTGGTAACAATTGTAGCTGATAAAGTGGACTTCAGATTTCAGCTTTCTACATTGACAGTTCTTGGGAATAATGAGGTAGTTTAGACTTATATAAAATTACTCCAAGAATTACATATTTTTCATATTCACTTGGTTCATAGGGCCCTCATGCTTGTCCAGTGAATAGTTGCAATCCACAAGTTAAATTTGAAATAGTCCCTTGGCTTTAATCTTGGGTGATGCAAAGTCCTTAAAATGCCATTTCAGCTTTTTGCTACATTACATAACATTTCTGAATTAATTTCTAAGTGGTTTTCTAATTCTGTTTCTTCTCTGCACTGAGGTTCACAGGTGTCTTACTGTGAGTGTGCAACCTGGAAGCAGAGTCAGAACTCCCAGTTACTAATTTACTGATTTATGTGGGGGGTTGTGGTGTGTGTTTGTTTCTTTGCTTCCACAACATCAGACAGAGCCAGCTGGAGTTCTGGGCCTCAGGAAATTTTTGAGGAAACTTCCTAAGTGCATTTCATTTTTCTGCTTTGTTGAGTTTTTGTTGGTTTTTTGTTGTTGTTATTGAAAACCGCGTTCATGGCAAATGCTCATCCATGTCACCATGTCATGTTTGATTTCAAACTGGGCAAATGCGAGAGTAACACTCTCAGTTCTGCTTTCCCTTTTGAGACATTTGAATATCCCTGCAAGCTTTGGGGAGAGAATAAGGCTGAGAAAAGCCAAAGCCTAAAACTGAAAGTTTGCTTCTGCTTCTGCTTTGCAGAGTTTCTGCCTGTGGAGCTGCAGACTCAGGGCTGTGAATTTCTCTCAGCTTTAAATTAAATCTTACCTGTTTACATCTAGAGGTTTGCAGTGTTTTCATGTTACTCTAGACTTGTTTTGTATTACTTTCTAGACATATGTTTGCTAGTAAGATCCACCACATCCCAAGATTCACAGCTGTGTAGCAATTTTGGATCTGCCCTCTGTGTCTGTACTTTCTGCAGTTATACAGCCCAGTTAGTTTGTTCTCTGCAGTGATGAGTGCAAATGAGAAGATCAGTGTGGTTCAGTTTAGTGGATCTCCCTGCATCAGTTCTAGAAGTAGGTGCTAGAAGAGCAGCAGCATTCCCCAGGGAGAATGACTGCAGTGACTCAGAGCTCTGCTCCTTTGGGTTCTAGTTGTGGTAATTAACATGGCCAGTAGGAAATAATTTAAAGCGTGTAAATTTGAAGGCTGTTTTTATGGATCTGGAAACCATGAAGTTAGGGTACTTGAAAAGCAGTTGCATAGAATCCCTTTTTACACATAATTTAGGTTTTAAGTGATTGCAAAAAATCTGGGTTTTTTTCCAGTGTTCTATATTAGAATTTCTAGTTTTAAAAGAAACTAACCTCTTCCAGAGATACTTGTTTTGAAATCTTTATTCCATCCTCATACATTTTATCTTTAAGGTAAAGCATGCAAATATAAGTTTATTCTGTTATTAATGGATTTTTTTTTTCCCCTGGGTTGTGGGTTTTAGTTTTTTTTTTTTTTTGTCTTACAGGAACTTGCCACTGGCTATTGCAGTGTCTATGCCAATTGTGACTGTTATCTATATTATGACCAATATAGCTTACTATACAGTGCTGGATGTTGAAGCCGTTCTTTCTAGTGATGCTGTGGCAGTGGTAAGTTGGCCATGTGGTATTTTGCTATATTATTCACTTTTCACCTTTTAGGGATGCATTTCATTTTGAGTAACAAAACAGGAAAAATCCCTAGTTTATTAGAGTACTTCACTGAATACAGGAGGACAGAACAACTCATCATGAGTAATTTAATCTTAAATAGAAAAGCAGTTAATGAAATCACATATAATAATAGTATCAGATTTATTAAAACAAGCACAGATGCATCGTGTAATGTATTTTGCAAAGACACTAATTAGACTTGTGCACTTTCAGCTGATTGTAAATTAGACTTATTAGTATGTAGTTGTCTTCTCTGCTCCTTTATGCTGCAGTATTTAGAAAGCTGGAGCAGTATGCAGAACAGTGTTGGACGGAGCTACATTCTATTGAGCTAATAATTGGTGCAATGCAAATCTGTAAATGGATATATCACAGCTCAGCTATGACAAAGTTTAGCTTTGTATCTCCTTTTTAATAACATAAATCACTGTCTTTCCAATATTGTATTAATTCCAACAACTTTTAATATATTGAAATTCATTATTTTTGTATATGGATGGAAGTTTGAATCCAATTAAAATATATAAGCGTCTTAAAGTAAAAGCTGGTCAAATCATGTTTTATACTTAAAGCTAATCATTCAACAATAGTGAAGGGTTTTTTTTGCCCTCTAGCTAGTGAATTAATTGGATAGTACTGGTTACTATGTCCTTTAGAATTGAGACTTGGAAAATTTAATCTTCTTTTTGGTTATTTAAATTGGAGGAAAAGAAATAGCTTTCCTCCCTTTTAGATTCGCAACTGGCTTCTAAAATTTAAGTAGTTAAACAATGGGCAGAGAGTTTTAAATACATCAAAATGAAGGACGTATTCACTCTGTTCCCAATTACTATGATTGAAAACTAGCTTAACAAATCAGCAAACTCTTGTTTTGGGTATTTAGGCAGATGATTCTGCAAAAGCACTTACTTGACTTTCTTTCAAACTTGATTAGTGTAAGCTTTCAAAATAGTTTATGGTAAATGTGAGCTGTAACTTGTTATTTCAAATGTAATTATGCAGATGTTTATTTCAAAATGTATTGAAAATAAACTTTAATTCTTTGCCTCATTTTAGCTGGAATATGAAAATACAAAACTGTCATAAAATATATTGAGAAACATTTGGTAAAACACTTCAGAATGAAACAAAACAAAAATTGGCAGAAAATATTTCATTTTGAATAAGCTAAGGGGTAATAAAACCTCCAGGACTATTTGTTTCTGTTGTAGGCTATAGTATCCCATATAAAGTACCTTCCAGTGACTGATAATGGAATTTTTAATTCTTGTCTATAATTAAGTAATACAGACAAAACTAAAAGCCAATACACAGTCCACTGTCTGTCCTGACCTCTGTAAAGCAGCACGCTATTGTTTTTTTTTCTAACAAAGACTTGAAAAATACACTTCTTTGACAGCAATGAAATTCTCCAATCCAGCCTATCCTCTAAGAGTATTCTGTGCCTACTCTACTGTTCCTGCCCTTAGTCATCAGAGGGGTTTATGCAGCCATTTGGTGAATGGGATCAGGAAAACTGATCCACCCTGGGAGACTGGGGGAGTGATTCACTGTGGGCCTGTCCAATCTGTGTTGCTGTACACAGGAAGTGGTAGCACTGCAGCAGCAATCGGAGGCCAGATAAAAGAGGGATGACGGATGCCTGAACCTTACTACACTTGTGAAACCCAGGCCCAAGTTTTTATCATTTTATATACACTTCATTTAATTGTTCTTTGACATTGTTCTTGACCAAAAGTGAGTATATATTTGGGTTTTTTGGTGTGTATATACTATACACGTGCTGTGTAATTTTATGTGAAACTGTAATACTCAGAACTGGACAGATCAGGTCGTCTTCTCTAGTATAGAATGCATCCAGACGTGGAAGAGAAAAAAGAAAGACTTAGGAATCAAGACCTTAATCAATCTAATTGCATGCAGAGATACTGGGTGACCAGGATAAGAATGAAAAAATATGTTTGTGATTTCCAGAGTTATTAGGGGATTTATGTTTTGTGCTAGTTTTAATGGAACTTAACCGAATGAATGACTTTGGAAGTCTAGAACTGTGCTTTTTCACTAGGTCTCAGGATTGCCAAGTACTTGCACTTAAAAGCTTAACTAATGTTCTATCTGCTCATCTTTGCTGAGATGTCTCACCGGCTTGCAAACAATGGTCTTCTGATTGCCACTACTTATATGCCTTTTAGAATGATAAGGTGAAAGTGCAGCTGAAGTTTAATACCTAATACATCACTCATTGCTGATATGAATTTAATTACCCAGTTTTATGAAACCAACTTTAGGCTTGATCTACTAATACATGAGCAAGTAGTGTGGACCTCTGGAAGGATGTCAGTAGAGTGGAACAGTTGACACTGAGGACCTGACATGCACACTATTCATACTTCAGGGGTATTTTACTTTGGACTACCTCTAATGAGGTCCTGTGGACTGAATGCTTATGTGTGGTTGGATTGCAGTAGGGGAGTGCAGTAGGTACGCTCTTGAAGTTCATCTTCCGATTTAGCCTCTTCTAAAAGGCAAGCTCCCTTTAGCTGTGATGTTAAACAGTGTGAACCAAAAAGCATTAAGTGGCAATATTGGGGAGAGTTGCTTCAAAGGTGCACTTGCAGTTCAAATTAAAACACTCATAATGCACCCATAGTTTTCTAGTGAATAGGAAGAAAAAAAAGAGCTAATGACTGTAATGGTCTGTATTTGAAAACCCTCCTATAATACAGAAATGTAAAAATCTTCATGGTGAAATTTCTCTGGGTGGTGGAAGAGAATTTTATCCTCAGTGGAATCTTTTAGAAGACTTAGGGCATTGTGGTCAGTGGATGAATGAAGAAAGGACATGAGAATTAAGCCATTCAAAAAACTAATCTGCTGAAAATGAGCCACGTTGATCTGCTCACATATTCTACATGTGATATATGATACAGATTGCTGTAGTTTCCTTATTGTGCTTTATGTAGTTTTAGGGTGAAAATTACAGTAATGATTTTTTAAAGAAACATGGTAATAATATTGCTGCATTTTAGAGTCTTTTGTGTAGTAAAGCAGCAGTTAAATTTAATCTTTCCTTGTTGCTATTTTGGGAAGGAATGGAGTAGCTTTCTCCTATTCATTTCAGTCAAGAGGCTTCGAGCTAGAAAGCGGGAGGAAAGCTATTTCCAGTTTCTAAATTATGGGAGTAAAAGTTGTATGTAAAAGAAATACTAGTAATAGTGTATCTTTGCACATTACCTTGCATACTGTTTTTCTTGGTGGCTGGGAGGTGAACAAGGGATGATTCAGGAAAAAAATGATAAAATGTCCTTCTTTTACTTTAGTATTAGCTTCATTATGGTATAGTCTCAGTGTTGGGGCTAAGAAACTAATTTTTTTAAGCTCTTTTTTGTTGATGTAATTTAAACAATACAGCAACAGCTAGCTTAGAAGTTCTGCAAATGCTCTTCAGATGGTTGCTGATCATGTAAAAATCACTTCCTTTTTCAAAGATTCCTGTCAGTTTCACAGTTGACTTCTGTTTTACCTCCTTAGGCAAACCATCACAACCCTTATTGGTTTTTGCATGTGAAGCAGTTACTCTGTAGCACAAACACACTTAAAAGAAATAAATAAAAGCAGAAATTTTCTCTCCTCTTCCTCTGTCACTGAACAACTATTTTTTTTTTTCATCTGAGAGCACCATTGTATTTTTTGTTTGTGAAGAGGGCAGCTGGCTCCACAAGCACTTTTTGGGCTGCTTCATCTTCTAACAGGAAAGAACGTACTGGCTGCCAGTGCATAGCCTGTTAGCTGCTTCCTGTGTTTGGTCATGTCTGGGATGTTTTGATTGAGTTCATACAACAGGTAATATTTGGCAGCTTACTTCTTCTTGGACAAACTAAAAATGATTCCTGGTTGAAGCAAATAGTTGGTTGGCCTGCATAGCCGGCTGTCATTTTTCTTGGAGCTGTACAGCTTTCTTGGTAGATTGGGGATAAAGATGACAACTTCAGTTGCATCTTTGAATACCATCTTGTGAGTCTAGCACTGATCGATCCAATTTACCCTGGTGTACTTGTATTCTAGGGCAGACTTACTTCACTTCGACATGCCCTCTCCCTCAATGAACCAGGAATATGGGAGGCTGTGTGTTTTAGCTGTTTTATTCTTCTTTGGTATGTAGTTTAGCAAATGATGAGTCTCTTTCTTCTAACTGAATTCAGCCAGAAATTCTTAAATTACTCTTAGACCTTTTAGGTATTACTTCTCTTCCTTCATTTGGCCAGTCATTTGCTTCTTTTCTGAAGATGAAAATTTGCTTGTCTTTGGCTGCCAGTGTCATGTCCACCTTCTTTGCTTGCCCTGGCACCTCCCAGTAAGGTTCCTTTGGATGAAATGCACATTCTGTACCTTATAATGAAGAACTCTTCATAGGGACAGGCAGTTCTTTTTAGAAGAGAGCTGTTCAGTACGTCATTTGCCTTCTTTCTTGGAGGTAGCTGTAATTCACTATCAATGCAGCACTCCTGTTGCCAGTTATGTAGAAATTCTCTGGCTTTGGAGGCCAAGCTGAAAAGCTGAGCCAGAACTTGAAACAGTGCGACATAATATTTTCAATATGAGAAATGTAGGAGACTTTGGAAAACATTGAACCGTTATTCTACAGCTAGCTATTAAAAATGCTAAGAACAGTACAAACACCTGAGAAGATTTAGGTGAAATATCTTCAGCACCTCCGTGAACAAAACTGTTTTACTCTTGGAGCTGGCATCTGTAATCTTAACGTGGGCCATGCAGAAGAGACATGTTACATGCAGTAGACATGCAATATATTAATGCAGTAGAGTAGTGCTTGTTTCTCTTACCATAAGATTGTATTGAGTGACCTAAATATGAAGAGAGAATTTCATGCTGGACGTTGCACTGCACTGGTACCTTTTTCTCCAAGAAAAGGCATT